TATGTAAAGGCGTTTCAAATCCTTCTCATACTCTTGCAATATTCTAAACGTTTCTAAACTCTAAACGCTCTAAAAGAGCAACAGAATGTCATGATTTCAGCTCCCTGCCTCCGCTGCGCTCAGCCACCTGCAAGCGCTCTTGGCCACGCCCACTTCTACGCTCTGTACAGAGAACAGCTGATCAGCTGCAGCAGGAAGTTTATCCTGCAGCATGGGCTGCACAACGGTGCAGCAGGTGCTAAATAATTTAAAATAATTTATTTTGAATAAAAATTTAATGCCAATTGTGCAGCTCATCCATCAGTCAGCCAATTTTGTGTCATAAATGAAATGCAAAGTAGCGAGGACTACTGTATATATATATATATATATATATGTATATATATATATATATATAGCTCTGGAGCAAATGTCATATTGATTAGCATTGGAACTAATGCTACTATCCTTGAATCCTAATAGCTCCTGAGCTAATAGTGTTAGCTTCATCCAAGTTAAAGAGTAGTGTGAGATAGAAGGGTTTTATTTTTAGCTCTGGGGCTAACATCATAAATATTAGCAATGGAGCTAACACAAAAGCTGAGTCATTTCTCTATTGTCCTCTTTGTCAACGTACTGTGGTTCAAATTAAAGGGCTGACCATCAAATGTAATTTACCCAGAATGCATTGCAACGTAAATAAAATGGTGTCGGTGCAGCAATTCCAATTTTTTTTAAATGATAAAATCTACACAACCTACAGTATCGCTACGGTTTCGTTTTTATAGCTGAAGTGAATGCTTATCCAACAAAGACTTTTTGCAATTAGTCGGAGATCCTTTCACTTAATGGATTGTAATAAAAGTTCTAAACCATTAAATCATTGCAAAAGTATGGAACCTTTGGTTTAATTTGATCTGGGCAGTCTTGGACCTAAAAACATTTACATTTCAGTTTAATCTAAGTGGTAATTTCTGTGTAGCAGAAACCTCAGAGTGAGGAGCTTTCCACAACAGGATCATGATGTGCCACCATGTGCGTGACAACATCAGCCCTGTATTTAAATTTATGACCACAAATCTCACAGCCAAAGGGCTGCTCCTCTGAGTGAACCACCATGTGTCTCTTCAGAAACTCTTGTCGTGAAAATCTTCGGTTACAAACACTACAACCAAACGGTTTCTCTCCACTGTGGACAGTCATGTGTCTTTTAAGATCGTACTGTGTTTTAAACCTTTTTTCACAAATTCTGCAATAAAACGGCCTCTCCTCTGAGTGAACTCCCATATGAATTTTAAGGTTTGCCTCTGTTTGAAATCTTCTACTACACTCACTACAAGCAAATGGTTTCTCTTCTGGTTTGATCTTATTTTCAGAACCTGACTTCTCTCCCGTGTGGACTAGCATATGTTGCGTTACCTGCTTCTTCTCTAAAAAACTTTTACCACATTCACTACAGCTGAACGGCTTTTCTCCTGTATGGATACCCATGTGTCTCCTCAAAGTTTCTTGGAGAGAAAATCTTTTACTACAAACACTACAGACAAACGGTTTCTCTCCGGTGTGAATGCTTATGTGTCTTTTAAGATCAAACTGAGTTTTAAATCCTTTTTCACAGAACCCACAGTAAAATGGTCTCTCTCCTGTGTGGACAGTCATGTGCTTTTTAAGATTGGACTTCTTATTAAACCCTCTACCACAAACATCACAGTCAAATGGTCTCTCTCCTGTGTGGATTCTCATGTGTACCTTAAGAGCCTTTTTTGCTAAAAACCCTTTGCCACAAAGATCACAGGTGTGTGCTCTTTCTCCAGCGTGAGCTATCATGTGTGGTTTAATGTAGGACTTGCGTTTGAATCTTTTCCCACACAGATCACAGCCAAATGGCTTCTCTCCTGTGTGGACTCTACCATGATCTGTAAGATGGACTCGCTTTTTAAATCTTTTACCACAAACATCACAAATATACGATTTGCCACCATTATGAACTGATCGATGCATCCTCAGATTTGCTCTACAAGTAAAATTTTGTCCACAATCACTACAGCTAAAGTGGATTTTGTCTTTCAAACAGTTTGTCTTTGAATCTTGATTCTGCTTGGCTGGGTTACATTTTTCATCACTGTTTTTATCTGATTGAGGTGCTATGCTCTCTTTCTGATTATCACCACTCTTTTCAATTTCAGGTTCAGAAACTGACAAAGGGCCCTGCCACTCATATTCATCATCACTATTATCATCATCGTCGTCATCATCATTTTCACTAACATTATCATCATTGCCCGCTTCTGTCTCAGAGGAGTATAAAACCTTTTCATCATGGTTTAGCTGAAAATACCATCTTGGATCTGGGTTCCAGTCTGGTCCTGGTCCTCCACAGTCCTCTCCGTTGTGTTCAGTTTTCATCAGTTGAACTGAGCTGCAGGTCGGAGGTTCTGTCTCTCTGCTGTCTTCAAATTTGATGTGATGATCCTGAGAACATTGTAATTCCACTTCTTCATCTTCACTCTTCACAGTAACAACAGTAAATGGTAAATTGCTGACATCAGTCTCCTCCTCTTCCTCCTGACTGCTCCAGAGTTCCTCCTCTTCCTTCTTGATGTGATCCAGGTCCTGATGGTCCAAACCAGAACACCATTCAAGAGGAACTTCTTCTTTAATCACCAACACCTGCTGGACAGGGAACACTAAAACACAAACATGAACAATAAGAATTACTTTAGGAAAATTTTAATAATAACAGAAATAACTGTAAAAAGTATTTTTTAGTAAAATTATAAAATCAGAAAATAAAACTACTCTGTTAGGATATTAATATAACAAAATTATAAATTGGTTTAAAATTTAGATTAAATTCACATTTAATTAATAATTAATTAATTAATTAGTTGAAAACCACGAGGAGGGAAACGCATCAGGTGACACAGGGAGAAGAGGAAAGTCAAGAATGTAGGACTGAGGGTTGCAACTCTAAATGTGGGGACAATTCATTCAACCTTTATTTATACAGGTTAGTCCCATTGAGCCTTGGGGACTCATTTAAAAGAGACTCCTGAAGATCCCTCTTGCGGAGGACGTTTACAAAGCAGTTCTAGTTTTCTTGATGTCTGTTTTAAAGTACGTATATTAAAGTATTAAAGTATATTAAAGCTCTGCGAGGTGCTGGCCGACATATTTAACTCCTCCCTCACACTGGCAACAATCCCACCTGCCTGAAGACTGTCACCATCATCCCAGTCCCTAAGAGCTCTACAGTAACTGGTCTGAATGACTACCGGCCAGTAGCCCTCACCCTGATAGTCGCTAAATGCTTTGAAAAACTGGTCATGACTCACATCAAAACAACCATCAACATCAAGGACCCTCACCAGTACGCATACCGCGAGAACTGATCAACAGAAGACGCCATCTCCTCTGTGGTCCACACTGCTCTCACCCACCTGGAGCTCAAGGACTCCTACATCTGTATGTTCTTTGTGAACTTCACGTCTACGTTCAACACCATGATCCCCCAAACCCTGATGGACAAACTATCCACACTAGGACTAAGCCCCTCCATTTGCCACTGGGTCCTAGACTTCTTAACAAACCACAGTCAGTGAGGATCCACAGCTTCTCCTCCATCATAACCCTCAGCACTGGCTCCCCTCAGGGCTGTGTGTTGAGCTCCTCCTGTTCACTCTGCTCACGTATGATTGTGCAGCTACCCATCCAGGCTGTCACATTGTAAAGTTTGCAGATGATACAGCGGTGGTGGGATGCATCACAAACAATGATGAGTCCAGCTACAGGCAGGAGGTGGAACACCTGGAGAGCTGGTGCAAAGAGCATAATCTTCACATCAATGTGAAGAAGACAAAGGAGATGGTTGTAGACTTCAGAAGAAACAAACACACCTACCCCCCCACCCCGAACATAGGAGGATCTACAGTGGAAGTGGTCTCCAGCTACAAGAACTTGGGTGTGCACCTGAACCACAACCTCAGCTGGAGCAACAACACCACCAGCCTGATGAAGAAAGCTCATCAGAGACTCTACTTCCTCAGGCGGCTGAGACGAGCTGGTCTGGAAGCTCAGTCCTCACCTCCTTCTACAGGTGTGCAGTGGAGAGCATCCTGTGCTCCAGCATCAACGTGTGGCATGGAGGCTGCACAGCTGCAGAAAGAAAAGCTTTGCAGAGAGTGGTGAAGGCTGCACAGAAGATGTTGGAGTCAGCCTCCCCACCATCACAGACATCTACACCTCCAGATGCAGGAAGAGGGCCACCAGCACACCTGGGTGAGTGGGGGTGAGTCAGTCGAGTCTACCTGTGTCTGCACTAGAATGTACTATGTGCTAAATAACGTTTAATAATAATAAACAGTATTTATCTTAAGTTTGCGATATATAATGAAGCTATCTGGACATTATGTAATTCAAATTATGTGCTTAAAATGATGCTAAACATAACGCATGTTATTAAAGTTGAAAATGAAGACATGAGGTTTAATGTTTATTTTATTTATTTATTTAAGTACAAAACTTAAACTGCAAGTCTAACTTGAAGTGAGATTATTTCTCTCTTACACACCTGTTTAAAGAAACGAATATAAAATTGAATCAAGCTCTTTCTTAATGTGAAGAAGTAATATAAGAAACAATCTTTTTATTATAAAGTTCACAATAAAAGAACTCATAACTGTTTTTGAATGAAAAGTTGTGTTAACACATATTTGGTAACTTCCAGGGTGAGTTAATTCATCACTTACTGAGATCTTTCCGGCCTCGTGTTTCCTCAAGTTCAAACGATGAAGATGGTGGAGGTCTGAGGATCTCTGAAGTGAGACCCCTGGAGTTGTCTGATTGAACGTTCATCATTCCAGACGTCCTCGTTCCACTTGTGATACCTCATAAACCTTGGGATGTTCTAAAAGGTCAAAGTGTCAGGGATTTAATCTCATCTTCTCTTTTTTGCTATTTAAAACAGAGAAAAGACAAATATCAGAAATTTTTTACAATAGCTTCAAATTTAATTAAAATTATATATTTAAAAAAGACCATTTGGGTAAAAAAAAAAAAAGTGAAGTTAAAATGTAACTCAGCACAGTTGTTCTAAATCTTTTCTCACTTAAAGTAAAACTTTAAATAACTTTCTAAAACAACCAAACTAAACAGGACAGATTCTGTTCAGGAACTGTTTCATTTTGTTCCAAAAGACAATTATTAAAACACCAGGTAATACCACATGTTGGGCACAGTGTGATTCTTATTTCAAGTTTTATTTGCTTCTTTAAAGTTAGTTTCCCAAAATGGGATTAATAAATTACATCTATTTTGCTAAGTGAAAAGAAGTAACTGACTAAAATGTATAAGCAAAAGAAGTTAAGGAAGTTTAGTCAAAGACCACGAGGAGGGAAATGTGTCAGGAGACAGAGGGAGAAGAGGAAAGTGAAGAATGTAGGACTGAGGGTTGCAACTCTAAATGTGGGGACAATGACAGGCAAAGGTAGAGAGCTGGCTGACATGATGCTGAGAAGGAAGGTAGATGTTTTATGTGTCCATGGGACCAAGTGGAAGGGCAGCAAGGCTCGCAGCATTGGAGCAGGGTTCAAACTGTTTTACCATGGTGTGGATAGAAAGAGACATGGAGTAGGGGTGGTCCTGAAGGAGGAGTTGGCAAAGAATGTAGTAGAGGTGAAAAGAGTGTCAGATAGGGTGATGTGTCTGAAGGTAGAAGTAGAAGGTCTGATGCTAAATGTTGTCAGTGGTTATGCTCCACAGGTTGGATGTGATGTGGAGGAGAAAGATACATTTTGAAAGATCTGGATGAAGTGATGGAGAGTATTCCCAGGGAGGAGAGAGTGGTGATCGGAGCAGACCTGAATGGACATGTTGGTGAAGGAAACAGAGGATGAGGAAGTGACGGGTAGGTTTGGTGTCAAGGAAAGAAACCAGGAAGGACAGATGGTGGTGGATTTTACCAAGAGAATGGAAATGCCCGTAGTCAACAAATGTTTCCAAAAGAGGGAGGAGCCTAGAGTGACCTATAAGAGTGAAGGAAGGAGTATGCAGGTCGACTACATTCTGTGTAGAAGAGGAAACCTGAGGGAGATTGGAGACTGTAAGGTTGTGGCAGGGGAGAGCGTGGCCAGACAGCATCGGATGGTTGTGTGTAGAATGACTGTTGTTGTGAAGAAGAGAAAAAGAGTCAAATCAGAGAAGAAGACCAAATGGTGGAAGATGAAGAAGAAAAAATATGTGAAAGAGAAAGAAGAGTAGAGGTTATAGAAACTGTGGACCAGGAAGTGAGAAAGATTAGTGAGGGTGAAGTCCAGAAAACTCTGAAAAGAATGAAGAAGGGGAAGGCAGTAGGACCTGATGACCAGTGGAGGTTTGGAAATGTCTTGGAGAGATGGCAGTGAAGTTTTTGACTCAAATAATCAATGACATATTTGAGGGTGAGAAAATGCCTGAGAAATAGAAAAGAAGTGTGCTGGTGGCCATTTTTAAGAACAAGGTTCATACACAGAGTTGTAGCAACTACAGGGAATTAATACCCTGATGCATGCTCAATAATCCAGGTAGAAAAAAATCTAAAAAAGTTAAATCTGGTCCTCTGGACATTCAATAAAGGGAAATTAAGTTGATGAGCCACACGATGAAGATCTGGGAGAGAGTTGTGGAAGCAAGACTTAGATGAGAGGTGACTATCTGTGAGCAGCAGGATGGTTTCATGCCAATGTATAAAACAACATAACAAGGTTTATCATGAACTACATCACATGTTGCAGTATGAAAAGTTTGCTCCAGGAGTTTTCTAAATATAACAAATGGAATATTAGAATGTGGGTACTCATTTAATGTAAATAAAGCACTTGGTTGAATCTGCCAAAAACCATTGAGTCATGTACTGACCCACATCAGGCTGGTCTGGTCTCTGTAACTAACTATACATGGTGGAATTAGACAACTGTAAAATCTCAGAGGTGTGCAGACTTAAACCCAATCAGCTTTTCCATGAACTTCATCTTGTCGACTATTTCAGACACTCCAGCTGGTTTTCTTGTAGGTAAACAAAAACACATGTGGAATATGACTGCTGTTCACAAGTTTTTGATTTAAGGCCACAATAACCATCGATTTGAGAAACATTGTTCAGATTTTGTTTCTTATTTGAAATTTCTTTTGCCCGGACTTTGCAATGTGTAGCTTTAAACCCAAACTCTGAATACATAACCTGCTCCAATCTAACCTGACTCAAAAAGTACCAAAAACACTGACTTTCAAATGGAGGGGTGGCTGACATCCTCCTGAGAGAGTTGGGGGTTCAATTCCATCAGCAGTGTTGAAGTGTCCTCCCCTCATTGCCTCTGATGTGTCCCATCGGTGTATTAATGTGATCTAAAGCTCTGATTAGTCTCTACATTCAGATTATCTTTGTAGAGATGTAGTAGAGTGCTGTACGAACGTGTTTGTGGAGGTAAAAGAGTACAGATTGTGTAAAGACTTTTGATATTTATAAATAATGTCAAAACTACGTTAAAATAGCCCATGTGTCAAAATGTAGTTTCACCTACTGCTTCACGTTGTTGTCCTCTTAGCCTCTGTAGTTTTAAGAAACTGTACTTTGAAGATCATTGCTTAAAGAAAATAGCTTGATCGATTTTTTTACTATTGATGCAGAGAAACCCACCACGACGGTTGAAAATGATTTCCAATTACATTTGTCCAAAAACATACAACCAAGTAGTTATCTATTTATCAAATAGTGTTAACTTACTTTTAATGGACGTGAATGTTTCTGCTCAGCACTTCTGTTGGGACTTGGAGCTTTATAAATAAACTGAATTATCTCATGACGTGCACGTCCTGAACATTTTGCTGTCTATATCTAAATGTGGACACATTATCAGAGAAAACACCCTGATGGCTGGAAATCTTTGACAGGAGTGGAAACAAATTTCGACACAACACCGCAAGCTGTGACTGACCAACGCAGACATGTATTTTATGTCGCTTTATAATGTAGCTGTTTTTGAATATCATTTTCTTCGATTTATTTTTCAGTTTATATGCTTTTGTCTTCTGTTGTCATCCTTCTTGGTTAAAACAGGTCTCTGTGTAAATGAGTCCTCGAGGCTCAATGAGACTAACCTGCAGAAATAAAAGCCGCTCCGCTTCCGTCTCGCACTATTTTAAACCGTTTTATAAATGTATGGTTACGAACACGAACTAGCATCAACAAGCGCTTTAATGAAGTCTTTAGATGTTTTATCAATATATGAGGAGTTTCTTCGACGCATTCGGCGTTCTTTGTTGAAGAGGCTAAGTCGCTAGCTAGCTAGCTACCGAGCTAATATACACTCACTTCCGGGAAACTGCAGGTAGAAATGATCCAAGAGTGGGTAAAACAAACATGTAGAAGTGATATCCTCACAATATTGTCTAGTAGGAACTCTGAGACTTCAATCTCACACAAATTTTGACGTGTTTTTCAGTCGTGATTTAGCTTGTCAAGCTACCAGCAGCCACTTCCTGTTAGCGTCATCTGTTTGACCAATAAACGGCAAGTCACGCCCTGATTTTCTTCTTCTTCTTCATGGGATTTTATGGCGGTTGGCAAACAACGGAACGTGTGCATTACCGCCACCTACTGGTCGCCCTCATTTTCTAAACTACTTCCTGTTTTAACCGGTGGCGTTTCAATATAAACTCACACGAGGATGATTTATTTATTTACTTTTTAACCTTTATTTATACAGGTAGTGTCATTGAGTCACGAGGACTCATTTTCTAGAGAGACCTGTTTGGGAGCAGATGGGGGCGTTAAGGGCCTTGCTCA